GCAGAATAATAGATAATATGAAGTAGGGAGATGAATCTTTCTCAAATGGGAATGGAGATCAAGACATGGAGGAGGGAGGGCAGACAGGGGATGAAAAAAGGAATTGAGATGTGTTACGTATATGCACCAACTCCACATGAGGAAGGTACACAATGAACCACAAACTTGTAATAACAAAGAGAAAAGAAAAGAAACAGAACTGTGAAGCAGCACATAATAGGTGTTTTTCTGGCTGGGCTGCTTATCACCAGGTACACCTGTGTTCCGAGTGAGACCTTGCAGAAATCTCGTTCATCAGTGACTACTGTGTATTATAGTGTAGGGTTCTGCTGGAATATTAAGCCTCACTCATCTTTATATCCATTCTTTGAAAACAGACACAAATAACCCAGAAATTCTTCTTGTGAGTTAGAAGCTTTCTGGTATCCCATCAATGGTCCTTAAACAATTTTTCATTAGCTTCCTGTTTCGTTTTCATTCTCTCTTGTCAATAGTCCTAAAAAAGCAAAAAGAAGTGCAGCTTCAACTTTATACATCTGAGTTTATTTATTGTTATTTTTGCTTTTATAGTAGTTGTTCTCAAGGAAATGTTATGAAGTTGGCTTTGTGATTTACTACATCAAAGCCTTTTTATGTTGGACTTATATCTAGAAGACGACAGGAGAGAGAAATCATAAAAGTTAATTTGTACAGTTTTTAGGTCATTTTATGATGATAAAGAAGTTCTGTCAATGAATTCCAAGATTTTGTTTTAAAGATATATTTTTAAGCCTAATAACAGCAGCTCTAAATAAATTTCCTTAGTCATAGTGTACATTTTTGTCTATTTCATAGAAAGTATGTTTTTAAATGGGAAAATATATGCATATCTGAGCACAAAGTGACAGTGAGATTATTTCATGCTTTTTTCTAGTTCATTATACCAATCATCATTTGAAACCTGAAGTAATTGTGTAAGCAATGGACAATAGCCAAATAAAAATAATGTGGAGTTGTAATTCATTTTTATATAATTTGGAGTCAGAATAAGACTAAATGAGGGGAAAGAGTATAACAAAACTCTGTCCTTGTTTTGTATCTAACTCTGTGACCTTGGATAAATGTCTTTTGGTTCTGTAAGATGCAGGCAAAAACTGCCCCCTACCTATCTTTTAGAGCTGCTGCAAGATTTATTAAACGAGAAGGAAGAAAAAAGAAAAAAAAAGAGCAAAAGAAAAATAAGTTAAGAGGTCTGGGGAGTAGAAGTCACATAAATGCAAGACACTATTCTTATCTGCAAAGATATACAAAGTTGAATTAAATTTATAACATCCTCCAGAGTCAAGTAGATAATCTTACCCCTAATTTTCAGATAGGGGGGCAAAGTCCTTCTGCTAAAACTAGTCAGATTGGGTTTACGATAAGAGACACAGCGACTGGATTCAGACCCATGCCAGTGTTTGTTGATACCTGAAAGTATTTTCAAGGGCAGTTTTCAAAGTCTAACGATCCCCTTGGCAGACAATGAGAATAAGCTGAACATTACTCTCCCCAGTTCATGAAAATTGATCTGAAATGCAAGACACCTTGTCTCAGTGGTAGCCAAGGGAAGCCAAGCATTGTGAGGGCTATTTCAATACATTGTTCTAATGAGGAGGAATGCAATGTGGCTTAGGCAAGCTGCAGCCAAGCTGTCAGAAGTGGAGAAACCTCAGAAAAGGAAAAGCAGCAGAGTCAGTTTAAGAGCTCACCTGTACCTCCTGCAGGAAGATTATGAGGACAGCGAAGTCCCTCTCTCCTTTACATTACTGCCCCGCATGTACCAAAGTAAGGCAAGCAGAAACTCTAAGGATGTACATCTGAAGTGACAGTTTCAAAGAAGTGGAGTCAGACTAGAGAAGTACAGATGAGAGTGGGCATCCCAGGCAAGTGGGGCTGCATGGATTTGGAGAAAAGCTAGGCACACTGCAGGGAAGGGTGCCCAACATGGCTGGAGCGCCTGGGCAATCAGAGAGGCTGCCACCATATGTTAGGAAAGACAGGCCCTGGGAGACCATGCTAAGGAGTGGGATTGAGTCTGTTTGCAATGGCGAATTGGTGAAGAGTATCAAGCCCTGATCTGAAATTGTATGTTTTACATTTTTGAAAGATTCTTTTGCTTCTTTTTACAGTAAGAGGCCCAAGTTTTTTGATTATGCAGATTAATCAGTGTATGGCTCCAAAATGTTCGAATTCTTTTTGTCTCTTTCTCTCCTTCATTCTGTCTCTAACACTCGACATTCAAATACATACATATATATGTTTATATTTATATATAATTGTATGTGCATCAGTAGTCAAATATTAGCAGGCTCAATTTTAATTTTCTGATTAAAATTAAATATATTGAGTTTTATTATTTTTCCCCACAAAAATGGATCAACTGTAGTCTCTTTGAGTTCTTGTACTCCGTGTTGGAGATGACTATTGGAGAGAAAGATGAAACAGAGCAGTTGTGGAGTCAGGAACAGCATGAAAGAGGCTTGTGTGCCAGTCTGCATGAGAACTGAGGGTAATGCAGACACAGGGCGGCACATTTTTCATATGTATACGGAAGAAACTCCGTGCAAGAGTTATTAATGAATTATGTCTGCTGGCCTCGAAAACAAATATAGTCCTAATAAATGATTCACTCTCCTTAGCTTGGGTTGCTTATACATTGCCAGAATGATAATGTCTTGAAGTTGACATTCTACTAAGCCTAGCCTAGTACTTGCTATCTTCCAAAAAAGGAAAACAGCTTAGAGAATTACTGGTACTTTCCCTTTGTACTTGTTGACAAAATGTTAATGGGGAGCAGAGCTACAATAAATAAAATGAATACACAGGCACCCACAGTATTACTTCACAATTACTCAGCCAATTTCATCCACATTTACGTAACTTTTTTTCTAACATGAGTAATTAAAATCTGGCATTGAACATATTGTCTCCCTTTCTGATCTCCCAGCGAATGTACTGCAAATGCATCCATTCTAACAGGTGAATTCAGAAAGATGGTAGATTCATACTCTGGGAAAGAGAAATCTACTCATACCAAATTTCTTCAGGAAAAGTTTCATTTTGAAACTAAATCTGAATTTTGGTGCAGCGATAATACAGGACAAACAATGTGAATCTGTGAATTTCTTCTTTTCCATTTTGGTTTTTCCAGTCCTGTTTTTGGATGGGAAGTTATTTGGGTTCCAGTTCTTTAATCTGCTTTTCCTTCCTTGGAGGAATTCCCACACACGTATCCAGACTGGAAAGGTTAGCAGGGCATAAAAAGAACGCATTAAGCAAATGATCCGCAGAGCTCGGAATATCTTTCTGAGGAGAGGAAAATGACCGCCCTGGGTTTGACAAAGAGCATTTGCAATTTTGGGAAGGCCCAGGCTGTGGCTCTCTTCTCCTCTGCGTGGAGTCCAGAGTCTGCCAAATGGCTCCTGTTTCCGGAGGAGGAGCCAGGGTGGTGCAGCAAAGGCACTTTGGGAAGGACAGTCCCCCTGTGCCTTGAATGACAGCAGGACGCTCTTTGACCCTCTAGGTGCTCAAGCCTTTCCTCTGTGCATTTGCACCTTTTTTACCCTGGCCCTAAAAACAACAATTCTAACAGTTCTCCCATAACTCCTCGCTGGATTGGATTGGTAGCATACCAGTTTCTTGTGGGCAGCATTAGAAAGGGTTTGACTAGCTGAGGAGTAATTACCACCCTGTCTCACTTTCACAAACCCAGAATTCATATTTGTCAGTAAAGCTACAATTCTAAGTGTTACAATGAACAAAAACCTTCATGAGAATCAAATGTAGCACTGTTTTGTTTTTCCTTTATTCAGTGATAATATAATGGCTGAAGAGTTTAATTACCACGTGCTTAAGAATGTTATTAGATACGCGAAAATTGAGAAGAAATTTGAAGGCATCTCCAGCCTTAGCAGCAAACTATTTGCAAAAAGGTTTGGATTTTGAGAAAGTCTTTGTAATTTTCAAAGCCTATTCGCCTACTATAAATCTGGACTTCTGAGTAGGAACGGGAAAGCTGAGGTGAGTTGACGCTATAACCACACAATCACAGAACTGTAGGAGTGGAAGGGATTTTTAAAGGTCACCTGAAGCAACCACTTAATTGTCCAGTGTAGGAAGCTGCGAGATTGTGCCTCCTCTGGGTCTCACAGCAAGCCATCTAGGAGCATCCCCGCGCAGGCCTGGGAACGCTGGTGCTCAGGCTGGCGTCAGCAGCCACCTGCTGGGCACCAGGGACCTGGGGAAATGCACCTGCCTCCTCCCCGGTGCCTACTTGGTACTCGGGTGTGGAGGAGTCTCAGGATGCATATTTATGGGATTAATGACTGCAGAGTTCCTGCCATGTGTAGTGTGATGCCAAGGGCTGAGGTCAGTGGCCAACAAAATAAACAGGTCACTTCCAAGTTGTTCACTTTGCTCTTCCTGTCTTCAGTCTGCTCTCTCTCTCTCTCTCTCCCTCCCTCCCTCCCTCTCTCCCTCTCCCTCTCTCCCTCTCTCCCTGTCTCTCTCTGCCAGGTATGTTCCTCTGTAAAGCTCTGGCACCCCGGGCTTAGGGAGGTGTTCTCCAATGTGACAGCACGCAGGGACACTGGGCTCAGCGCAGCGTGCAGTTTCGAAGGCGAGACAAGGAATGTGAGCGTGATCGTTCAGGGGAAATCCCCACGAGCACACACACTGTTAATTACACCGCTGGGCTGCTGCTGCTGTGTCCACTCTCCCGGGCCGGGCGCCCAGGCTGTGTTCGCGGAGGTGGACTCGCGAGCGCCCTAGCACGCAGGAGGGAAAGCGCCAGGCGGGGCCGCCGTGCCCCGCTCCGGACCGGGCCGAGGCTGAGCGGAGGGGCGGGCGGCCGAGCTGCTCCAGGGGCCGGGCTCGGCTGCCCCTTCCTCGCGCGCGCCCCGGCGCCCCGCCCGCCCGCTCGCCCCGCGTCGCCCGTGACTTCAGCGCGGCTCCTCCCCGCGTGGCGGCGCCTCGCTCGCTCTGGACCGCGCTCCGCCTCCGCCTCCGCCTCCCTCCACCGCGGCCCAACTTGCATGGAGTTGGGGTCCTGAGGAGCGCCCCGCCTCGCCACGAGCCTCTCCGCGCCGCGATGGGAAAAGTTGGCGCCAGCAGCGGCCCGGCCGGCTGGGGCGCACTGCTGGCCGCGGGGCTGCTGCTCCTGAACGCCGCCAGCTCCGCGCCGCCCCCTGGCCCGGCCCCGCGCCCTGTCCTGGCCGTGGCCCCCGGGCACCGCGCGCTGGCCCTGGAGCGGGCCTGGGGCTCGGGGGCGGCGGCGGGGCCCGGGCGCTCTGGCCGGAGCAGACGGAGCGGGTCGGACGCGGAGGAGGCCGGCGGCGGCGGGGACGCGGGCGGGAGCCCCGGGGCCGCGCGCAAGGACGGGGCAGCCGAGCCCGGGGCCGGGCAGTCGGACCCGCGCGGGGCGCCCCGCTTCCGGACGGAGGAGCTGAGGCTGAGCAGCACCACTTTCGCGCTGGCCGGGGACTCCGCGCACAACCAAGCCATGGTGCACTGGTCCGGGCACAACAGCAGCGTGAGTAGCGCGGGCCGGGAGGGGCCTGGCGGGCAGCGGGGATGCGCGCGCCGAAGCCCGCGCCCTCGGAGCGGAGCGCAGGTGCCTCACGGGCCGCCGCCCCGCCCCGGCCGGCGACACCCCTCCCCCTCCCGTCCTGTCCCGTCCCGGGCCAGCTAGGGGCGCGGCGGCAGAGCCCTCGCCCGCTCGCGCTCGGTGTGTAGGACCCAAGACCCGCACGCGAGGAGCGCAGGTACCCCGGGTGGAGGGGCCAGGACCGATTTCCGGGCCGCCGACATCCCCAGGAGCGGGACTCCCTCCGTCCCTGACTTCTGGAGCCGCTCCCGCGCTGGGCAGACCCGGTCCGTGGGCTTCCTGCTTACGCCCTGCGGAGCTCCTCGCCCTTCTTCCTGGCGAGGGAGGAGGGCTGCGGACGGGGACTCGATTCACCCCGCTGTGCGCCCTGGGCGGAGGTGGCGGGGGGCGCCGTCCGCAGCCCCAGCAAGGGTGAGGTCAGATGCGGCCGCACCGCAACCAGTTCCTGTCCCCATTGCCTGGCCAGGGCCGGGAAGGGGCGCAGCATCCCCTGGGAAGGCAGGAAAGCTCTGCTGGGCTCCAGGAGGGGTTTCCGGGGGCCCCGTGTGCGAGGCCAGGATCATGTCAGAGGAGGTGCTGATTTTCCTAAAAGCTGCCTGTCTGGGATCTGGGGGCGGAATTCCCGTTTAAGCGGAGCTTAGAAACTTCCATAAGCTGCAGTGTCAGAGAACAAGCTTGGATGGTGATAGCCAAGGCCGATTTTAAAGTGTGGAAACTTCTGCAGGCTGCCGTTAACCAAACAAGAAGAACACAAAAATCAGAGATTTATAGAATGGCAAAAATCCAAATTGCAGCTCCAGTCAGGTGATGCAGCCGGTGGTGTTTGTAATGTGCACAGCCTCTGCAGCCTGGTGGCTCTCAGAACGTGTTGCGCTGTGCTGTAACTGCCAGAAACCTTCGCGGAGAAGTAGCTGTAGCCTCCCTGAGTTTTGCTCCTCGTCAGCTTTTTAATGTGAACGATTTAAAATACAGTCTGCGATCAGGGAGTCCTTGTACATATGATATTGTGTACGGATGTCCCAGTCCTGAGAGTACCAGGAGGGTTTTCCCTGCAGAGCAGTCTTCCGGACAGGCTGCGGATTACAGCCCTGTGGTTCTCAGGGATGATTTCATTAAATAATGCAAGCTGAAATTCTTTTCCTTCAAGCTCTGGACAGCCTTCCCCTCATCCCTTACCTTGACTAGCATGTCTTTCATACCATCCCCACTAAAATTAATGCTGTAATCTGAACTTGTATCTTCATAAACTGATTGAATAACTTTCATGCTGCTTTAAGTAATTAACTCATAGCTCTGGCCTTAAAGAGACGTTTTAATCACACTGAACGTGTTAGAACTTGTTATATTAAGAAGTTAAAAACAACTTTGGACTGAAGATATTTCTGGCTTTTAATGTAATTCAAGCTGTAAAATATCACTTACCCATTAGACCTGTACTTTAGTTCATCTGTGGAAGGATCTTGGAAAGAGCGAGAAAAGAAGAATTCATTTTTGGCAAAATTTAACCTCCATTTAAGAAATGGCGCCAAGCACTGCCAGCCTTTTTATTTTTTTTATAAATATTGCTTATGAGTGCAGTCGGGCTTATTAGGGTCAGGGCTTAGAACACTCCAGAAGATCTGAGATAGGAAATAATGAAGGTGGGGAGTGTGAAGGGCTTGAATGCAAGATCGTGTTCAAGAATGAGAGGAGATTTTTGCTCCCTGAAGTCTCTCATTCCAAAGGGAATCACACTTCCTTGTGTCCCTGCCTTACTCAGGCCGTGCAACTTTTTTTCTTTATTCATGCGTACATGCAGAGAGCAGAGAAGGTGACATCTTCGGCATCTAGGTCTTCCAGTTCTGCTTATGTAGAGCAGATTCTTAGGAGACGCAAGCTTTCAGTATTTATTAAAGGGAAGGAATTCTGCAAGAAACTTCCTTGGCAAATTCATGGACATGTAACAGAGTGGAGACCTGAAGTTTGATTTTGCTCATTCGCGTTCTGAACGTGGCAAACGGATGTGCCTCCTCTTCACTAAAGTGGGGGCAATGCCTGAGCCCTTGTCAGTTTAATTACAGAGAGTTACGCCAGGATGGACCTGAGAGGACCCTGCCAGTCTGAGGTCCCGGACACCTATTTGGAATTCTCCATGCTCTCCTACTAACCTAAACCAGAGGGTGAATTTGGGGTCCCCTCTTTTCCAACTCAGATGTGCTGCCTCCTAAATCCATCCTTCAGTCCATTCAGGGACCTGAGTAACACACATCCTCTAAACCTGCCTCACCTTGAGCTAAAAATCTGTGCTAGGTAGAGGAGCCTCTGATTACAATATCACCTGCCTTCTAGGTGCAAATGCCTGGTAATTATAGGCTGCCTGTCAGGTTGCTGAGGGATTTGGATTGCTCACACACCTCCTTCCGTCTCTTTCTGCCCCCTCAGCTGTTGGCTGGGTGCGGCTGTGTAAAGACATGACTATTTGCCTCAGCCGTGGGCGTGACAAGTGATCCTCTGTACCCAGTCTCCTAGCTTGAAGGAAACTGTTTCAGGAGTTGGTGGGACTCCTGGGGGGATCTTCTGGCATGAAAGGTGCTGGCTATGAATCACTTGTCATGAGCTTGGTGTTATAAGCAAGAACATATTGTTCCTACCCTACTCATCCCAGGCATGCTGTGCCCTGATCTAAATTTATATGGCAATCCTTACAGTGCTGAAAATCTACTTGGCTATATATGTGTGCATGGTGGTGTATGTGTGTGTTCCCCATTTCTGAGGAGTTTCAAGGGGCCACACTCATTGATCTTTAGGAGATCCTTGATAGGTCATAAGTAGGTGACATGTGTTCATCTCTTTTCGCATTTTTTATGCTAGTTTAATTTGATGACTTGAAGTTGCCCCTTTGCCTCTTTCTCCCTCGCAGTAGTGTTAAGAGATTTGTTTGCAGAAACTTTTACTTGTGTTTTGCTATCATGAGATCTTTCATGCTGCGTTTATAACAGAGCAGCTTCATATGGTTGGTTTTTATCTGCTTCCTTGCCTTTGTTTGTTCCAGGGCTGGATGTTCACCATCTAACCTTGGGGAATAAACTGAGTCCCATGTAGGGCCAGGTAGAGGCCTTCCGGTCATCATTTGACTTAGTTACACATACATCATGGCAGGCGTTCTTGTGACATTCCAAGGACCAGGAAGCCGAGTCCAGAAGGCTAAAAGGGCCACCATGAGGAGGTCAGGGGCAGAGCCGAGAGGAGCACCTGTGGTCACCGGACTCTGCAGCGCCGCTGGGTTTGCCTGGGGCACATCCGGTAGGACAGAAAACTCAGACCTTCTGGAATCTGAGTGGTAAATAAATGCATTTTGAGTTGATTTCTGATGATGAGGGGGCCCTCCTCTTCTGTGGAAGCTCGGTCTCCATGAAGAAGAGCTAGGGCTTTGCCATGTCCGGGCTTCTGGCGCTTTGCCTTGGGTAGTGGTGTGGTCCTTACCTCTCCAGCCACCTCCTCCTGGCTGCTGAGACCGGGAGTCTGCACGTGGGGCTCCGTGAGGGCAGGTGGGGCCATGCCTGCCTGTCTTCAGGAATGCTTTACCTGCCTTTTCTTGTGTAGTGGCACATCTTGTCCTACAGACATACAGTGCATACACACTTCATTTGGGTATATATTTTGTCCCACCCTTTTTCTTTATAAATAAAGTGATAAATGATTTTAGCTTTTTCTAGAAAGCTCACATAGTTCCTTCTCTGATTGGTATTTTGTGCTTTTAATGAATGGTAATCTGATGTGGCGCAAAAGGCAGTAGTGTTAAAGTCAAACAGATTTGAATTTGAATCGTATTTCTCGTACTTAGCAGCCTGTCATCTTGACCAAGAAAATAAAATTCTCTGATCCTCAGTCCCCTCATACAAAATATGGACATATATGTTGACTTTAGATTTTTTTTTTTTGGTACTGCGGATCGAACTTGGGACCTTGTGCTTTCAAGGCAGGCGGCAGAACCACTGAGCTAAATCTCTGGGCCCTAGATTTTTTTTAACCTGAAGATTTGACACCGTGTATACAAAGTACCCTGTACATAGTAAGTGCTCAATAAATGCTGCTAGGTCCCCCCCCCCCGCATTTGGCAAGGAAAAAGTTCTCTGCTAGGATTTGAGAATTTTGAGTTATGGTTCTGGATATAGAAAAATTAGGTATTTAGTCATGTCTTTTTGAAATTCTGTGAAATGATGCTGATGGGCTTGAATACCACTGCACACCCCTACAGGTTAAAATTAAGACTGTATTCAACCCTCAGGCACTGTGTACCTACCACAGGTAAGTCCTGCGTAAGGGAGGGTCCCATGCAGCGGTCATAGGGTGACCTACATCTTTGACCTACATAAAAGGAAGAAAACCTTTTATTCCAGACATGTCTTCCTTTTCACACAGTTCCCATGAAGGCCTCTTTATGGGAAATCAAGAACCTCGAGACCAAGCGCCAAGCACACTCATTCCAATGTGAGGACAAAGATTTGCAGCAGAAAACAGTTTATTAGTTTGACTATACTGCGTCTTTATGTCATGGAACATGCTGCCTTGGACCAGAGTGTGTGTGTGTGAAATTATAAAATCTGAGACATTAAGTGGGATTTTCTAGAGAAGTGACAGGAGAGTTGACTCTGTAAGCTACACCCACATCCTTTAAAGTCCTAAAAGAAAAGACCTAGGCTGGGCTGCAGAACAGTTGTAATAATTGAATTTACTTAACAGAAAAATAATTGCCACATATAACCAGTGGTTTCCATGCGCGACCAGTGTGGTCAGAACTGCCGCACATACTTACCAAATGCCTGGCACCTGCTGGTCCCTAGTAGAGGGATATTTGTGGGGTGGCACACAAAGATGAAATAATCCCCACTGTTGAAGTGCCTTTCGCCTTGTGCCCAGAGTCGTCCTAAGAGATAGCAGGAGGT